CTAATTACGATATTTCCCCCCTTGCTGGCAACCAGTTTCCACAACCATCCGCATTATTATCGTTCGTCAGTTCTGTTCTGTTCTGTTCTGGCTTTCGGCTTTCAGAGTTCGTTTCGATTCGATTTGGCTTCGGCTTCGGCTTCGGGTTCGTTTATTAGATGCAAGCTGCAGCGGATGTGCAGCTTCCTTCGATAGCCAGCAGAGAGAGCAAGAGAGAGAGAGAGAGACTTTTGTCATTTACAGTTTATCTTATGCTTTCGCCGCCTCTTCCTCTGCCTGTGCCTCTCCCCCTTTTATGGCTCTACCCACACTGCTCGCGCTGCTCGCGCTCCTCCTAGGCACGTCGAGAGTGGCTCACATAAATCAATAAAGAAAGGCCCACCTGGTACAAATAACTTTGAAAAATTTATATTGAACACTCGCCTTGCCTTGCCTTGCGTCGCCTCGACTTGGTCTTGGACTTGGGCAAAAGTTTTGGGCATTCGGCATTCACCGTCCACTCCCCAGCCAGCAGGTGGGCCTCGGCCCCACAACTTGAGTTTTAGTTTTTTGTTTGAGTTTAGAGAAAAAGAGAAAAGGGGCAGGGGGCAGAGACAGAGGGAGTGGGAGCATGGCAGGGCGAGGAGGCCAATTGCAGCTGCTACTGCTATGGCTTCCAGGCTCCCAGCTCCCAGCTGCCAGGCTACTGTGCATGGCCAATGAGTGAAGTGATTTGTATTGTTAGCCAGCGCCCACTCCCACACACAGCCCATCCAAGTCCGATGGCTGGGCACACTTGCAGTAAAGGAAAAGCGCAGTGAAAGGATGCTGTTCACTCTGTTCAAGTAGGACTAAAGATTACCCATGGACAACTCGTTCTAGAAGGTCTCCAAAGCCCAGACAGTCCAGACAGCAGTCCACTGCCTTGAAAATCACTCGGCTGCCAATCATTTATCGTTCGGTGGTAATTTCCATCGAAAAAAGATAATCAATTTCCCCATCCCACACCGCCAGAGCCTACTCCCCGACCTCCTCGCCAAGCGCTAGCCTAAGAGCTGCTGAAACCGAATCTTTATCGCCCATAAAGCAGAGAGCAGCAGCAGCAGCAGCAGCAGCAGCAAAAAGAAAACTCACCAACGATGGACATAGCGTGTCTATAATCGCCTTTAATTACCTAACCAAACGCAGCGTCATCAGTCCCCAGTCCCCGATCCCCAATGCCAGTACCAATCCCAAATCCCAGCAACAGCAGCAGCATAAGTTACCGTAGCATCCCCAGCATCTTCTGCCTCGTCTGGGCCCATCATTTCCATCATCATCATCATCACCATCTGCAGTTGGGATTTCTCCCACAGCCTCTCATGTGGATTTGGAATCCAACTCTAATTTCGAGTCATTTCCAGGGGCGCCCTACCTGCTGCCCCCCCTCCCCTTTAGGTTCCGTTTTGTGGCCGGAACGGAAGCTCGCTAATCTTTTGCCTCCGTTTGCATCTTCTTTTCTCTCTTTTTTTTTTGGGGCTATTTTTTACGGACCTTCGCTGTGCACCTTCTGCACGGCTCTTCTGCTCCTCTATCTTTTTATTTTTATTTTGTGTTATAATTTCGTTTAATTTCTGTGCATGTGTGTGCGTGTGTGACGGGGAGGGGGGGGGCGCCAATTTCCGTATAAATGCAATAAAAACGAAATAATAGCGTACAAGAAAACGAAATTAGTCGAAAGGCCCAGCCACCAGCGCCAGACGGAAGCGAAATAGAAATAAAACTCCACTCCAAAAAGCCCCACAGACTGTATGTACATACCTACAGAAGTGTACCTGCAGAAAAACAGAAATAGTAAAATGCTAGTTACAGGAAAACCACAAAAACAAAACAAAACAAAAAATGCGTGAGAAAATTCAAGTGGAGCCAGCACCTGTACATCGAAGCGACAGGCGAAGACGACGACAGCTACAGAAAGGGAAACACTTTGACACTGTGAGAAAGGGGGCATAGCAGAGAAAGAAAATACACACCCAAATATATAAAGTTTCAAATACGAATTTATTGCAATTAAATACAATTAACTTTGATCTTAAAAATAAAATATAAAAAAAAAAAAAAAATATAAAATATAAATATAAAATATTAAATTTATAGCAAATATATTTAATCTTAATATGAAAATATTAATTTAATATGTGAAACATATTTAATTTAAATTGAAAATATATTTATTATAAATATAAAATGTATTTAATCTAACTATGAAAATATTAAATAAATATATGAAATATTATTTAATTTAAATAGAAAATATATTTATTATAAATATAAAATATTAATTATATTATTAAATAGATTAAATATAAAATATATTTATTATAAATATAAAATATATTTAGATTAAATACTTTCATATCAATTAAAAGCTGTAAAAGTTTACCCATTCCACACTCCAACTAAAATCTACTGCTGTACATACCAAATCTTAGTGTAGCTATTCCATATGAAAATATTAAATATATGAAACATATTTAATTTAAATATAAAATATATTTATTATAAATATAAAATATTATAATATAAAATATATTTAGATTAAATATTAAATATATTTAGATTAAATATTTTCATACTAATTAAAAGATGTAAAATCTACTGCTGTTCATACCCAATCCTTGTGTAGCTATTCGATTGCCAGTGCTCTTTTTTGCGAGTGTGTTGGCAGGTGTGGTGGGGTGGAGGTGTACGGTGTACGGTGGGGCAGGGTAGGGTAGTGGTAGTGCCGGTTGATTGGTTGAGATTGTGCTTCATACGATATATTGTAGCTGCAATTTATTAAGCAAATCTCCCAAATGGCACTCGAGTAGAGCTGTGTGGGGGAGCCAAAGGTGGAGCTGTGCTGTAGCTCCAGCACTTGCTGGAAGTGAGTGAGTGGCAGGGAACGGTGAGAACATGCTCTCAGATTGAGTTACGCAAAGAATGATGGAACCGAGTGCTGGGTGGGAGTGTAGATAGATGGGCTGTTCCTGCACATACTGTGGCTTAAGATTATTGATAAACAAATGCAGATTGTCAGCTGAATGTTTAGTTGAATCTGCTTTTGTGTTTTTTTTTTTTAGCAAAATCCTAAAGCAAATTCTAGTTTGCTTCGCTTGCCATTGGATCTGCCCGCCCCCCCCCTCTAGTATTTTCTGTCCACAAAGTGGTTAAACCGCACAGACCAAAGGCACCCTTAGCCTCGTGTGCCTGGAGTACCCACCCACCAGCCACCACCCACCAGCCACTTCGTTTTTCCCCCCCACACTTTCGGCTCGTTGGAACATTTTCATATCTGTGTTTTTGTGTGGTTTTAATACTTGTGTTTTACACACGAATATTTGGCCCATTCCTTGGCTGAATATTCAGCGAGATTTTTACACATCGTAAACCCGTTTTCCTCTCGGCTTGAGCCTTTTTGGCTGTTGTTGTTGCGGTGGCGCTTGCTCTGGAGGAGCCCACTTGCAGTCCGACTGCCACTCGCAGTCTTTTTTCCTACCCCCTCGCCACGAGCAGCTGCTTTGACTAATTTGAATGTAATTCGCTTTGGCGCTCACGTACTTCCACACACACACACAGAGAGAGCACAAGTCCGCCTGCAAGTAGAGCCTGCAGAAACATGAATAAAACCAAATAAAATGCGAATGAAAATAAAAATGAGTATTAAAAAAAACACGCGCGCTAACAGCGAACCAAAAACATAAACAGAAACAGCAACAGAAACAGCAAGACCAACAGAAACAGAAAAAAAAACACAGCAAAAACAGCAAACGGCGCACAATAAACGCAATAATAAGTAATAAGACCCTGAAGCAATTGTTCCGTTTCCCCGACAAAATTTGTACAACAAAACGAGCGAAACGCGATAAAAAAAAAAACACAAAACAATAAAATAAAAACATACAGTAAGAAACCCTAACAAAGGGGTACAAAAAAATGTACAACAAACAAACAAACAAACAAATAAATAAACAAATAGATACGAGCATGTGAACAAGAAGAAAAGACAAATTTCTGTGTGTTTGTGGTGGGTCTTGAAGGCGCCTGCTCAAGGCTCGAGCTAAGTGGATTCCGGTTTAAATAATAATCGCTAGATGATTGCCAAAAATGCAACAAAAATCAAAATGATTTGCTTCAAGTTGCAAGCTTAATCCGCTACAAAAAATATCAAGGCTAAACGAGAGCCAACGACTTGGGGCATCCATCTGCCGCCAATGCTTTCAAAGCGAGAGAGGGAGAGAGAATGCCATTGAATACGAGTATTTGAATTTCCATGCTGGCGTCAAATTTTGTAAAAGAGTCTTATTCCCATTTGCGCAGCTATTAACTAGCAAACAAATGGAACAAAATATAAGCCAAAATATGAACTGAAGTTACGTTACCACAATTAGAAGTGACTTTTGAGCTTGGCTTACCAAAAGCTGGCAAAATTCTGCCAAAATTGGTATTATATTATATTGGTATTATTATATTATTGGGATGTGCATTTTTCTAATTTTTCAAATTTTTAATATAAATAAAAGGCATCTGGCATTGTTTTACGGCATTCCGGGGTATTTTGTATTTTCCATCCTAGCGCGACAAGCATATAAATACTTATAAATTAAGGCGCTAGGGGTTAAAAATAAATATAAAAAAATTGCCGGCATGGATTAAAGCTTCTGGAATTTTTATTTGTTTTTTTTTAAGTTGAATATATAAGCAAGATTTTGTGGTTTTTCTATAATCATTTTCCCAATAGGAGATACTCGATATAATAAAAAAGGAAAACATAGCTTAAAAATAAATACCGAACAAATGTACTTTAGCTGATTTTAATATTAATACTTAAAGCAAATTAAAGCTAATGAAATATATTTGGAAAATAATATCGCTACGGTATTAAATTGAAATGTTTTTTTATGGGCCTTAAGAAACCATAGAAACCTTTAGGGCGCGAATCCAAGACAAACAGCAACTCAACCGCAATAATGTTTGCCATTTCTCCCCTCTGTCTGTTGCAGCCACGCGGATGACGCATCAGCCGCCCACGATGCAGCAGACACACGCGATGATGCTGCCGCTGCCGCTGCCGCTGCTGCTGTTGCTGTTGACGTCAGTGGCGATGCCGGCCCACGCATCGCCCTTTACGAGCTATCAGAACCAGCGATTCGCCATGGAGCCCCAGGACCAGACGGCCGTGGTGGGGGCACGCGTCACGTTGCCCTGCCGCGTCATCAACAAGCAGGGCACCCTGCAATGGACCAAGGACGACTTCGGGCTGGGCACCTCGCGGGATCTGAGCGGCTTCGAGCGGTATGCGATGGTGGGCAGCGACGAGGAGGGCGACTACTCGCTGGACATCTATCCGGTGATGCTGGACGACGATGCGCGCTACCAGTGTCAAGTGAGTCCCGGCCCCGAGGGCCAGCCGGCCATCCGGTCAACATTCGCCGGCCTGACGGTGCTGGTGCCGCCGGAGGCACCGAAAATAACCCAGGGCGATGTCATCTATGCCACCGAGGATCGCAAGGTGGAGATTGAGTGCATCTCTGTGGGCGGCAAGCCAGCAGCTGAGGTGAGTTTGACTCTGACTCTGACTCTGAGTCTGAATCTGAGGGCATGTGGCATGTGGCAGCAGCCAAAGTCAAGCCGCATGTGTACATTGCGCGTAACCAGCCTGATCTAACCTGATTTCAATGCGTGGCCCGTGCTCGCTTCACCCCCCATCCCCCGCAGATTACATGGATTGATGGCCTGGGCAACGTGCTAACGGATAACATTGAGTACACGGTGATACCGCTGCCCGATCTGCGCCGCTACACCGCCAAGTCGGTGCTCCGGCTGACGCCGAAAAAGGAGCACCACAACACGAATTTCACGTGCCAGGCACAGAACACAGCCGACCGCACCTATCGCTCGGCGAAAATACGTGTCGAGGTAAGCGAAAAACCAAACGAAACCCCCCTGAGCCACCCTGAACCCACCCCCACTGAATCACAAACCAAAGCAAAGCAAAAGCAAAAGCAAAGGCCTGCAAGCCCACAGACAGGTCCCTTCCCACAGGTCATTGCAGTTTTCTGCATGTCCGAGAGGGGTAGGAGGGGTGCACCCTGCACCCTGCAGCTCTCAACCTGTGCCTGATGTTCGGGGGGGCAGCCTTATCTATGGACGCTGACGCGTCGCAGTCAACGCCGTCTGACTATGGGCTATGGGCTCCATGGCTCCATGGCTCTTTGGCTCTGAGCCTACTATCAATTTTACGTGATGGGAGCATGATGCGGAAACCCATTTATGCAGACCTCCCCTCTGCAGCCCAACCGCCCAATCTGAGCCCCAGAACGGTAACCTGAATGGGGCTTTTGTGTTGGACATGGACATGGACACTGACGGGCTAATTCATCCTCAAGCATAAAGGCGAAGGCCATCAGGCCATGCCAGCCATCAGAGTGTGAAAGTGAGGCATGATTCAAGCCAAACAAAAGGTCCCATCATCACAGCCCATAGCCCAGAGCCCAGAGCCCAGCATCAGCATCTGCATCGGCATCGGCAGCCCCCAACTTGTCATAGTGTTGAGTGTCAGGTGTGTGCACAGCTGACAAATCCCTGACGAAGATGTCAAGCCCTCGAGTGGCGCCCCTCAAGTGTGCGATTGATTGACTTAACCCCCCGAAAAACTAACGTCATCTTCGATTTTCTTTCTTTCTTTCTCTCGTTCTCCATCACAGGTTAAGTATGCGCCCAAAGTCAAGGTGAATGTGATGGGAGGAGGCGGCCATGGTCTCGGTCTTGGTCTCGCTGGCAGCTCCTCCTCGATGGGAACCCACCAGCGGATTGTGGAGCATGCCCAGGTGCGACTCGAGTGCCGGGCAGATGCCAATCCCAGCGATGTCCGTTATCGCTGGTACATCAACGACGAACCAATTATAGGCGGTCAAAAAACTGAGATGGTAAGTGGCGCTCCGCTCCCATGGTACCCCCATACCCCGTACCCCGTACCCCATACCCCTACCAATGCCTGGTCTTGGTCGACATTCCAGAAGCGAGGCGCATAATTAGAGCAACTATTGCGATAAAAATGCTGTTGCTGTTGCCTCTGCTGCTGCTGTTGCCTCTGCTGCTGCTGTTGCCTCTGCTGCCACTGTTGCTGCGTTGTATAATGTTAACCAAGCCAGGATGGGGGACGGATAGCAATTATTGGAACCAGTTAGGCCTGCACCGGAAAGGCCTAACGTTCCCACAATTTGCTAGCTCATAGCTGAAGCTCTCTATTAACCAGATATCTCTCTCTCTCTCTCTCTGTCTCTTTCTCTGTCTCTGCTGTCCCTCTTCACTGTGCAGATCATACGCAATGTGACGCGCAAGTTCCACGATGCCATTGTCAAGTGCGAGGTGCAGAATTCCGTGGGCAAGAGCGAGGATAGCGAGACCCTGGACATAAGCTGTAAGTACACACGGCCCTCTTACCCCAGACAGAAGCCCACATCATCTCCAATCTCTCCCATCTCTCCCATCTTCCCAATCCACCATACCCAATGCCAAAACAGATGCACCCAGCTTCCGGCAACGGCCACAATCCCTGGAGGCGGACATCGGCAGTGTTGTGTCGCTCAGCTGTGAGGTGGACAGCAATCCGCAGCCGGACATTGTCTGGATCCAGCATCCCAGCGATCGGGTGGTCGGCACCAGCACCAATCTCACCTTCAGCGTGAGCAACGAGACGGCCGGACGCTACTACTGCAAGGTGAATGTGCCCGGCTACGCGGAGATCTCCGCGGATGCCTACGTCTACCTGAAGGGCTCCCCGGCCATCGGCTCCCAGCGCACCCAGTACGGCCTGGTGGGCGACACCGCGCGCATCGAGTGCTTCGCCAGCAGCGTGCCCCGGGCCCGTCATGTCTCCTGGACATTCAACGGACAGGAGATCAGCTCCGAGTCCGGCCACGACTACTCCATACTGGTGGACGCGGTGCCCGGCGGCGTCAAGAGCACGCTCATCATCCGGGACAGCCAGGCCTATCACTACGGCAAATACAACTGCACGGTGGTCAACGACTACGGCAACGACGTCGCCGAGATACAGCTGCAAGCCAAGAGTGAGTACCCAGATTAAGCCCAGACTTAAAAATTACCACTGACCACGCATAATAATATTTACGAGTTAAAAACAAAAACAAAAATAGTCGAAAAAGTCGAAAATGGTGTCCTTGCTCAAGGGGCATCCTGCAACAGGACAAACTTATATTTTTTTAACTTTTAAAATACAAATTGAGAACAAATATTTGTTCAAGCTTTTAATTGTTTTTTTTTTTAAATTGTTAAACCAAATTTAAAAAAAAAGATAGTTTCAATTTGTATTATTTATTTATGCCAAATAATATAATTATAATTTTGAACTAGATTTAGCTTAAATTTAATGGGACAACAATAGGTTTTTTATTTAATTTTTTACATTATAATAATTTTTATACCCGTACTCAAAAAAGAGTTAAGGGGTATATTAGATTTGTGGTAAAAGTGGATGTGTGCAACGCAGAGAAGGAAACGTTTCCGACCCCATAAAGTATATATATTCTTGATCAGCATCAATAGCCGAGTCTCTGTCTGTATGTCCGTCTGTCCATGCTCACAAATTTCTATGCTGACTGAGTACGGGTATAAGTAGAGTCGCGTCCCCAGAAGCGACTCGCACATTCCTTCTCGTTTAGAATGCATTTTTAGAAAAATACAAAATGAAAATAAGATATTTTATTTCTGATTTTTTTTTAATGAAATTCATAAATCAATTTTTATTTTAAGATCATAAAAATTAATATTTTTTTTTTAATTCTTTGCGATTCCCTTACTCATCTGCGACCGTTTCCCCGTTTTCTTTTGTTTCCATCACAGAGAGCGTTTCCCTTTTGGTGACAATTGTGGGTGGCACTTCGGCCTTGGGCTTCCTGCTGGTGCTCACCATTCTCGTGGTGGTCTACTTGAGGTGCAAGAAGCGCACCAAACTGCCACCCGCCGACGTGATCAGCGAGCATCAGATAACGAAGAACGGCGGAGTCAGCTGCAAGCTGGAGCCGGGCGACCGCACCTCCAACTACAGCGACCTCAAGGTGGACATCTCCGGGGGATATGTGCCCTACGGCGACTACAGCACCCACTACAGCCCGCCGCCCCAGTATCTGACGACGTGCTCGACCAAGTCCAATGGCAGCTCCACCATCCTGCAGAACAACCACCAGAACCAGCTGCAGCTACAGCAGCAGCAGCAGAGCCACCAGCAGCATCAGCACCAGCACCAGCAGCAGCAGCAGCCGCAGCAGAGCCACCAGCCAGCGCACCACCAACAGCCGCCCGGCCAGAGCCTGCCCATGACCTTCCTGACCAACAGCAGCGGGGGCAGTCTGACGGGCAGCATCATCGGATCCCGGGAGATACGCCAGGAGAACGGTCTGCCCAGTCTGCAGTCGACGACGGCCTCGGTGGTGAGCTCCTCGCCCAATGGCAGCTGCAGCAACCAGAGCACTGCCACCACCACCCATGTGGTGGTGCCCAGCTCGATGGCCCTGAGCGTGGATCCGCGCTACAGCGCCATCTACGGTAATCCCTATTTGCGCTCCTCCAACTCCTCGCTGCTGCCGCCACCCACAGCGGTCTAAGTGCGATCGAGGCGATGGATATAGCAGCCCACTCGAAGACTGATCTCAAAGGACACTAAGGGCTATGCTGTGCTCTAGCCGGCGCCTGTCCTGGATCGTTCAATGGGGTAAGATTGGGGCGTAAGCGCCATTGGAAGATTTTTCAGCAACCAAAAATTCGAATCGAGTAACTTAAAGATTTAGCTTAGAGAGAGAGAGAAAGAGAGAGCTCACACCACACACACACACACACCACACACCCTTGGCATCCGTTTAATTCTTCGTTTTCTAATCGGTATCTCCAGTCCAGCCCTAATGGAATGGAATAATAATGGAATGTATTTTAGCTTTAGCATAGGTGATGAATGATCTTTTTTCGAGCCGTAGTGTGCTTTGCGCTTCGGCTGCAACCTAGGCTAAGCGCAGTTCTATCTAAACAGAGACTAAGCTTCAAAGAATCAGTGTTAGGCATTTACAAATCGAACAAGAGAGCGAGCGATAGAGGGAGAGTGTTAAGAAACGCCTTAAAAAATACATAAATAGTTGGCTGCAGGGGAAACTTGTTGAGTTTTCCCAGAGAAAAAAGAAAAAAACGGCAAGGCGAGGGCATTTGTTCAAGGGTTCATTTCATAATTAATTGGAATTCAAGATGGAAGATGGAAGATGGCAGAGTCTCTTCCCTAAGCACACATATTTTGGAAATATCTAGCACTCCATCTATGTATCTTTCCTTTATTTTATCTATTTATATCTTCAATGCTTGTACCTGTTTTCTTCCTTTGATTATGTTCCAGTTCCTTTGCTGTCTTTCATCAATTTATGATTCACTTCTATCTTGTCCTCCCCCCAGCTATTCTACCCTTTAAATACCGATATATAAATCTATCTGGAATATTTAATACAATTATTTGAAACCATTTTCCACACCTCAAACAAATGCCCAGGAAATGCTACACAAAAAAAAATATATTACAAAAAAAATCATGAATAGGAAACAGAAACAGAAACAGAAAGAGTTCAATTACACATGGACTTATATGCTAAATGTTATAAAATCTACATAGAGTATAGACAGTACATATGTATATATAAACAGACGCGACAGACAGAGAGAAATGCAGTTGAGTGGATAGTAGTATTTAAGCGAAAAAATATGCCAAAGTACCTGATAGTATTTAAGTCGGAGTAGTAGCAGCGCCAGACACGGCGCTCGCATCAATTACATTTTTAAATTAAATATTATATATATATTATAATTAAATACATATAGAATACTTTTTTTTTTTTTGTGGAGCTATAACTAAGCGTACGTTAAGTATTTCGATATAGGGATATGCCGATAGAGATAAACCTACTTACAAATGAAAGATGTTAGATCTTTGACAGTCGCCTTAACTTATGACACGCCCACACACCCACACACCGACACACAACGCCCCTGCCCAAGCAGCTAACTAAGAGATAGAAGAAAATGTATTCAATTCGTCAGTTCAATTGTCGTTGCTAAGTGTACTTCTAAGTGTATAACGGTCTAATTATCCTAGTTGTAGCTTAAACGAAAAAAACAAAAAAATCATACACACATCTACATAACTAAATATACTTAAATATACATACATACATATATACATATAGCTCTACATACATAGTATATGCATACACACACACACACTTATATATACATACATACAATTTTTTTTGCATAGACTCTAAGCATTATATTTTGATAAGCGAACAATTCAATGGCAGCAAGAAAAGTGTTTTTAATTCTTGTAATTCAAACAAAAAAAAAAAAAACAAAAAAAAATCCAGTTTAGTTTTTTTTTGTCTTGCTATATGTATTTATCATGGATACGAGTATTTTGTGGATAGCTCGCTTGCCAATTAAGCGACAAACAAATATAAGTGTTTTTTTTTCGTGTACGTATACAAAATGCAAATTATAAAAACAAAATAAAAACAAATAGGCTACAAAAAAAGAAATGACAAAAAAAAAAACACACACACACCAAGTTAAACACGAAAGAAAAGAGTTAAATAAAATGTATTGAAAACAAAACAAAAAAGAAACTTCATACCAAGTGGGAAAAATCATTCGGAAGTTGACATCAAAGCGCTGGGGCCAAACACCAACAACTGGCTGGCTGGCTGACTGGCTGGTAGTCCAAGTCCAAAGACAAATAAGCGGGAAAAAACATTTTTTAATTTGAACCAGGACATGGACATGGACATGGACACAGACCGGAAAGGGAGTTGAGTTGCCCGGTCAGCCAGAGCCCCAGCCCCAGCCCCAGCCTGGGCCCGGGCCAACTGTCAAGCAAACTGCAAAAAGCCAAAAATCAAACAAACAAAAGTGAAATTAAAATGTTGGCAGGCCACCATTGCCAGCAGCAGCACCAGCACCACCACCAACACCAGCAACACCACCAGCCATGTGTGTGTTAATTTATGGCCAGTCGAAGTCGAACTTCCATTTCCATCCAGCTCCAGCTCCAGCTCCAGCTCTCTCCCGCTCTCTCTCTTTCGGAGTTCGCAGTTCTGGGCTGGTGGGTGGGGGGTCAGAGTTGACAATGCAAACAAACGGCTCGCAAAGCTCGACTAAAAATGCTTAATGAGAGTGCGTAAGGGTAGCTCTGAGCCACACACACACATACAAGAGCACACCCACCCCACACCCCCACCCCAAACCAGCAGTCCATGCAGCACCCACACACTGTCGGGGGGGAGGGGGGGGCCCGAGTGTTGGCCGCAAGAAATTCTGCGGCTGTGGCAACAAAGTCGCGCACGACGCCCATTAAACTAAATTAGTTGCCCTTTGTCACAGAGCGACCCTCGAAGCTGTCACACATGTTGGGTGGGGGTGTGCGGCGGGCAGGGTGGCTGGAAATTGAGTGGCATGGAGTGGGTACTCGGTACTCGGGACTCGGGACTCGGGTCTCGGGTCATACGTGCACTTAGTCAGTAGGAAGTTGCAATTGCGGTTAGCTGTGTTAATTAGCATTTCTTTGTTGCCCGTATAGTTTTCGGGGAGCACACCTGCAACCTGAACTCACGTGAGATCGCAGGCCGCACAACACTCACGTAGACGGGGCGAAAAGAGTTTCGGGCTATGGGCTAGGGGGAGCTGGCAGAGCACAGTGAAAGCTCCCAAGGAAGGACATGCCTGAGGCAAAGAGGCTACTGCAAAAAGGAAGGCTCGTCTCTCTCGTCTCTCTCTCTTGCGCAGGACACACGTAGGAAGATATAGAAGGCAGAAATCGGTGCCATTGGATCGATTCGGATCGACAAAGATCTGTAAAAGAATGGAATTAAGAGGAATTTAAATGGCAATAAATTGGAAAGCATGGAAAGCAGGGAGCCAGTTCTGTGAGCCTTCAATCGGTTCACCATCCGAGTACTTACTGTTCGAACCGTTGACAGGTTGGCATCTTTTGTGGCACCTTTTGTTCGCACATGACTTCCTGCCGCCTGCCTCCTGCTGCTCCTCCTCCTCCTGCTCAGCTGCTCCTCCTGCTCCAATCTCAGAGCGTTGCCAGTCTACCATTGTCCGGTGTACGAGTATTCGTGCGCATTTCTTTCATCGCTTTAATCACCGAGCAGCAATGCGATCTGAGGACATCCTTTTCGGAGTCTCAGCCGCAGCTTCAGCTTCAGCTTTTCTTTTTGTCTCTTTTTAGGGGAATCATCCTTGGCAGTAGCAGAGACAGAAGAGACAGAAGAGACAGAAGAGACAGCAGAGACAGCAGAGACAGCAGAGGGGACAAAAAACGGACACGAGGCGCACGAAGAGTTACGATTTCATTAACATGAGATATGGCAAGTGCCAAGGCACTGCCAGTGCCAGTGGCTGGGGCTGGGGCTGTCGCATGGAGTGGGTTTGGTCTTGGGTCGGTGCTGCTGAGCCGGGGATGGGGGGTCTGGGAGAATTGTGGGTCCTGGTTCCTGGTTCCTGGGGTCGTGTGGGTCTGGTTTACGGCTCAAGTGTTGGCTTGTCGTCGCTACTTGTGTCGCACTGCGTTGTTAATTGCTGGAAAGAGACGGCCACAGAGAGACGGCTATGAGTGAGGTAGAGGCCATGCCGGGACTTTTGCACACCCCATCCACCCCATCCACCCCCTTTATATGATTAGCAAATGTTTTGTTTTTCACTATGCACTAAAAACGAAGCAGGGGAAATGGGAAACGCACCAGAAAGCCATTGGGGGGGTGGGTGTCTGCCTGATGGCTGCTCGTTGGGTGGCCTGAGGCCGGGCCATAACCCCAAATGCCTGGCAAGTTTTGTGTGGTTGGAGGTTGCTTAATGTTGGGCTGCCGCTGTAATTGCTACTCCACGCGTGTGTCTGTGTGTCTATCTAGGAAGTATCTCTCTCTGTGTGTGTGTGTGTGTGCGGAGGGGGTGGCTGCCTGGGTCGTATTCAAGTATGGGCGAGTTGAATTTCTTGAATTAATAAAATGTCTTCATTATTTAAATTGCACGCACGACCACAGCTCCAGGATCCCCTTGCCACCCCTTTACACTCTGCAGCTACCCCTCATCACTCAACCTCACCCACCCCCAAAAAATACACACACACACACACACACACACATATGTATGTGTCAGTTGACAGCCTTGTATCTAGATATGTGTGTGTGCATGTTTACGCTTTCCGACTGAGTTAATTAGCAGCTGGGGAATTGTGAAATATATTAATATTGTACATTTCGGTGGTTCCACATCCACATGCACACCACCCACAAAAGGAGCCCGTGCCACCCCAATGACCACAACAAGCCGTGTCACACATTCCATTTCCCACTTCGATGGTCCTTTTGTGGTTGAATGGTCGCTGGCTCGGTAGCTGGCTCGGTCGCTGGGTCGGGGTCGCGCTTTTCGATGGATACACGGGCCCCGAGGCAATCAAGGTGGTTTCATGGCTCCCACAAAAAGGATAGACAAAACAGGAAAGAGAGTGAGAGAGAGTGAGAGAGAGTGAGTTTGAGTTTGACTGTTAGATTATTATTTCAGCTCGTCTACTAAAATCAGAGTTCGAATCTAGAATTCGAATCATAATTGCCACAACATAAATAAAATAATAAATACAAGAAAGTAATTAAAACTGTCCAGCTACTTATCTACCGGCATGGATATATCTAAGTGCCCCAACCAGAGATAATTCATACTTGCCTGGTCTCCTGCTGCCTGCAAAAATACTAAAATAAATAAAACAAAAATGATTTGTGCTAATGCAAAAAAATCGATTTTAAATCGATTTTCGGCTTTAATTGTTTTATCATTTAATGGAGATCTGTTTTTCCATCGTTCGAGTGCAGTATCTGTGGATGTCATCTGTGTGGTGTGTAAATGCACACATATGTATGTATTTATGCACCAATATTTACTTTTATTTTGCACTGCGGCCTATAAGTATGCAATGGGCATGCCCGCAATTAAAACAAAATAAAAAAAAAACAGCGTGGAAGTATTTCCTTTGAATATTTTTATTTTTAATCACTTAATAACATAATAATAATAATAATTATATTTGTGTACATAAATATCAAAAACAAATTGGATCTTTAATGTTACGCAGTCCAACATTTAACAGAGCACAGCACTGTTAAAGTGTCCATTGCTTAACAGAACTGTTCGCCTGTGCTGTTAATCAGCTCTTGAAAGCTCCACAAGTAGTACAGAAGCACGCCCATAGATGGCGGTGCAACGATCACCGCGCCGCACGTTCGCTCCAATTAGAGCAGAGCAGCAACAGGTGGCAGGTGGCTGGAGGCAGGTGGCAGATGGGTTCAGTTCATGGGCTGATTGGTTTCTTTGCTGTGAGGCGATTAAAGAGATTACGCGCTGATCATTAGATTAGATCATCACAAGGTCGGTTCTATTAAGAATGCAACAACTTCTGAATGTTATAACAAATAAATGCAAAATTCTAGTCGCAGCCAGCTGCTGTGTGGGATCACTTGAGGCCGCCAGTGACCTCAATGGCGGCGCCATTCACATAGGCCGCCTTCTGGGAGGCCAGGAAGGCAATAACCTCGGCGATTTCCTCGGGCCGGCCCAGGCGGCCGAGGGGACAGCGCTGCACCACCTGCTGCTTGACGGCCTCCGGCACAACGGCCACCATGGGCGTGTCAATGTAGCCGGGCAGGACGCAGTTGACGCGAATGCCGAACTTGCCGAACTCCTTGGAGGCGACCTCCGTGAAGGAGATGACGCCGGCCTTGGTGGCCGCATAGTTCGCCTGTCCCACATTGTTCATGCGGGCCACAATGCTCGAGAGGTTGACAATGCTGCCGCCCCGCAGCTGCTGCTCGATCATGGCCTTGGCAAAGTGCTGGGTCACCAGATACGTGCCCTTCAAGTTGACGCTGTACACGTCGTCGAAGTCCCGCTCGGGCATCTTCAGCAGGTAGCCGTCCCGCGTTATGCCCGCCGAATTGACCACAATGCTGGGCGCCTGTTTGAACTTGAGCAGCGCCTCGGCCACGGCGCCACGGACACTCGTCGCGGAGGAGACGTCCACCTCGAGGGCGGCGGCGCGTTCCGCTCCCAGCTCCTTGGCCGTCTCCCTGGCAGACTCCAAATTGCGATCGGCGGCAATTACCTGGGCTCCGTCGCGGGCCAGCAGGCGGCAGGTGGCACGCCCTATGCCCGATCCGGCACCTGCAATGTACAACGGGGTTGAGTAGGAATAAAGAAAACAAAAGAAAAGAAAACTGCTGCCACACGCACCTGTGACCAGTGCCACCTTTCCCGCAAGTATTCCGCCGGTCATTATGCCACGAGCTGCAGTTGCTGTTAATAATACAAAAAAAAAACAGGCGGAAAACACAACACGCCACTCGGATTGATTTCTGCTTGAATTAGTTATCGTTATCGCTGATCAGCTGTTTTGGGTTAGATAATAGACAGAATGAAGAGAGAGAGAGCTAGATGCAGAGAGAGCGAGCTTTTGGGCGAGCTTTATGCTGGGCAGCTTTACTACAGAACCAACCAAAGCTTAGCTAAGCTTTCGGCTAGCAAACAGCTGGAACGATAAGAACGAGGAGAATGAGCAGAGATCAGCGGCAGAAGTTCAGTTCTGAACCAACAAAATGTCCCCCAAAAAACACCCAAAACAAAAACAATTATTCCATATTGAGTACTCGTCTCGGCCATCATTGTATTTATTTATTAGCTACTCCAGCGGTATGAGATAGTACTCATCGGCCTGGTGCACCCGAGTCACAGCTCTCACATTGCTCGCCTCGTTGCTGCGCGCCAGTCCGAACTGCCGGAGCAGCTTCTTCAGATAACGCTTCGGTATGCGCACCAGCTGGCGACGTATGATGCGCTGCACCCTGTTCCAGGCTCCACTGCTGCCCCGATGATCGTCCTCATACTGCTGCAAGTCCAGCTGCTGCTGCAAGTTCCTGCTGCTGCTGCTGCTGCTGCTGCTGCTGCTGCTGCAAGTCCTGCTCCTCTAGCTCTAGCTCAAGCTGCTCCTGTTTGGTTGGCTGCAGAGCGGCCAGCTGTTGGAGCAACTGGCGCAGCTGCTTATCGCTCAGCTGGCTGAGATCAATTTGTGCCTCTGCCAGGGCCACATCGCTGGCTCTCAGCCGGAGCCTGCCACCACTGCCACCACTGCAGCCGGCTGTGCTGCCATCGAATGAAGCGACGACGAAGATCGAGAAGATCAGCAATTGGCGGAACGGCAGGCAATCCATGTTTGTTCTCAGCCCCAGGCGGGCCACTCTCTTAAATACGAAAAGTATGCCTGCGGGGGCATACATATACATACATACATAAGTACATATGTAATGTATGTCTCTATGTATTTTCAGCCACATCATTCTGTGAGCTGCCAAAATGATTCCCAAATGTGGGTCAAGTGCCAGTTCGAGTACTTTTCAAAAGGAATTCATTTATTTTGTCTTGTGTATGCCCAAAAAGAGTGTGTGGAGGCTTCAAATTAAAGATTAGCTACAATAAATTAGAAAAAAAAAATATATATATATGTGTGTGGGGAAGGGGATCAATGATCTCCGCTGGAGCTTCGTGGGGGGGGTGTGGGGGGGGATAACCCGCTTAGACGGCTGTGATGCGTGTACGCTTGTTGCCCTTGTTCTTGTTCCTGTTCTTGTTCCTGTTGCTGTTGTTATTGATCCTCTTCTTATTGCCGCCTCCGTTCACACGACGACGATTCTGCAGCTTCCTGTTGGGGAGGCGCTTCCTCACCACGCGACGCTTGTTGGGGCGACGGTTGGTGTTCAGCATCACCTTCTGGCCGTTCTTGAAGTAGCGACGGTAGCGGGGTGGGATGCGGACGCTTATCTGCTGGCCCCGGCGGGCGCCCTTGCGCCGCAGATTGATCATATTGTTCTGGGTGGCCTTGCTCTCGGTGGCCCCGGCCCCGGCCCCGGCACCGGCAACGGCACCCGTGCCCTGGACATCGGCATCGGTCACAACCTCGTACTCCTGGGCGCCGGCGGCGAGGGCCGCCTCCAGGGCCTGCTCGTCGAGCAGCTCGGCATTGGCTGCCAGGGCGCCGGGATAGCCCTGTGCCTGGGCCTGTGCCTGGTTCTCATCCGCATCAGCGGAATCGTCCTCCTCCGCATCGGCTCCATAGGCGATGCCATCCCCTTGGCGACCAGTGGTCCCGGTCGTGCCAGTGGTCGTCGGCGAGGTGGTGACGGTGCCCGTGGCCGTGGGAATGGTGCCCGTCGATGTGACAGTCACCGTGGGACTGGCCGTGTTGGTGGCGGTGCCGGTGGTGCCAGTGCCAGCTCCGGTGATGATGATGGGGATCACCGGCTGGCTGCTGCTGCTGAACATATTCTTGAACATGAGGAACTTCTTGAGGAAGAGCCGTCCACTCGATGCGTCCTTGGTGCCCGTGGAGGAGCTGCTGCTGCTGCTGCTGCTGCCGCCCCAGCTGCACCGCCGAGGCTCAGCTTATCCTGGTCGGCCTTCTGGTCGAGGGCCGCGGCCAGCTCGGCATCGTTGGACCTGAACTTGGCCAGGGCCGGCTCATTGAAGTAGGAGCTGCGGCGGGCTGCCTTCAGCAGCTGTGCCGTCGACTTGGCCTTCTCCGGGCCGGCAGCGGCCTGGACGAGGCCAGCAGCCAGCAGGCAGCAGCCAGCCAGCAGGACCAGGAGCGACACTTGGTGCTTCATTTCTTTCACTTGGAAACTACTCTGTGGCAGAGAACTTTTCTAGCAGCCCGAACGGAGGTGGCGTCGACTCGTGGAGGTGCAGGTGGAGGTGGAGGTGGAGTCGTGTGTGCTCGCCCGGATGGGTAATCAATGTTTGATACATTACCGCCCCAGCTGGATGCCTTTTATACAAACCCAAGAGCCAAGAGCCGAGATCCAATACCCGAAACCAAAATGCAAATGACTTTAAAGTACCTCCACAACTGGCTCTGGGCAACGGTAAATTGCCAAGGGAGTCAACGGCACTGCCACACGATGTGTGTGTACTTTTGCCTATGTACACACACACACACACAGCAGCAGCAGCAGCAGCAGCGGCAGCGGCAGCTAAACCCCCAGAGAGACCCACAGACCAGGCCCAGGCCCAGTTCCAGTCACAGTCACAGGCCCATCATTCGCGCAGATTCATTCAATTCACAATTGAATTTGAATTGAATTTCAGTCTCCGTTTTGGTATTTTTGCCTTGCAGCTATTTTGGAGCCCGCTCAGCAAAGTTCTTCACCGTCATCGTCATCGTCAACCTCTCGTTCTGCTTGTTCATCTTTTGCGGACCCTGTCCCAGTCCCAGTCCCCCCTGGCTGAAGCTAAGCGGAACGGCTCGCAGATTTATTTGGAGGCTCGCTTTCTAAACAGGGGTAGGCAGGCGGGCGGGCAGGCAGGCGGAGGGGTACTCCACGGGCTCGAAAAGTGAAAACAAATTCAACGAATTTCTAATTGCCAAACAAAATCGGGTCAAAGGGTGTACACTGTACACCCACACACCCCACACACCCCACGGCTCATACACGAGTATTTCTGCTGGCATCGAGTTCCCTTTAATTCGTTTGTCACACAGCTCCCCCTGCCCCGCCCTGCCCTGCTCCGCCCTGCCCATAATCCAAAGTTCCAACATTCGAATCGGCTTCATGTCGATATATATATTTTTGTCCCTTCCCTTCTGGTTGTTCTTCTGCAGCAAAATGCTGCTAATTGCGAGATATGCCATTGCCTTTGGTTGCCACATGTAAGTAGATGCCCGGACGGAGAAGAACTTGCCTCCGCCCCCAACTGACTTAACCGACACCTGGCCACAGCTTCTTGCGAGCCCTGCACCTGCTTTTGAGATGTCTCCGTCTGGAAAGGGCTGCGCGGTATTTGCCCGTTGGGTGAGTTCAGGCAGCAGTGGCTGGGCACAGCTCTCCAATCGATGATCTGATCTGCAGGGTGAAGCTGGTCAACGAGCGCAGCCAGGGCAGGTGCAAAAGGAGGGTCGCACTGGCGGAGCTGGCCTCCTGTGGCGTGGTCGTGTTCAATGTGCCGAGCCGCTGGCCGGAACTGAAGCCGATCATTGAGTGCTGCAAGTCGTGCTGGAGGCGGGACCTGAGGCGGTGCATGGACCGGGCCAAGGTGGCCATCGATGTGGCGCTGCTGTCGCTGAGCATACCCGAGCTGGGCCCCTTCATAAGCGATGCCAACGATCGGGGCGTCAAGGTGCGCATCATCGCCAGCACCAGAATGATCTGGGTGTACGGTCCGGTCATCGTGAAGCTGTGGAAGGCTGGCGTGCCGGTGCGCCACACCTCCATCGGCATGGACGTGCACTACAACTTCGCCCTGGTGGACAGCGAGGAGCGCATTCTGGAGCTGAATCCCGCACTGGCAAAGTCCAGAGCAGGCGGCAGCCTGCTAGCGCGCCTGTTCAGGCCGGCACAGAGGGAGGACAGGGAGCAGTTAAAGCCCGAGCTGAGCGAGTTGCAGCTCTACAAAATATTCTTTGACCAGTGGAACATGCTAGACCCCGTCGTCCCAGTATAAATTGCTTCCCCACAACCGTTCCACTCCACACACAGACAGCACGCTTGGCCGCTCCCCCCTTCTATTGATTGTTACTAAATTTGCGGTGATTATGCCATGGTATTCCATGGATGGTAGATATTTCCAGTACCCTTTCCCTATATTGATCGACTCCGAGTGGGTCCCCTCCCCAAGTAAATGTGCCCAAGCAGGGATCAATGGATGAAGTGAAGTGAAGGATTCCTCGGGCTTGGGGTGCCTGTTTTTTTTTCGACCAGAGAGAGAGAGAGTTTCGTTGTTGTCATATTCGATTTATTCAGCACTGGATACAGGTCAAAGTGTCGGATGCGGATGGGGATGCGGATCTAGCCGCGGCGACTGCCTCTGCGGCGGTTGCGACGCTGATTGTTGCGGCGCTGGCGACGGCGAGCGGCCTGCTGGCGCTGGTTGGACCGGTTGCGGCTGAGACGGTTGCGACGGGCCTGAGTGCGGCGCTTCTGGTTGAGGCGGCGACGCATGTTGCGACGCTTGGCCTGGCTGCGGCGACGGTTCAGGGCGTTGCGCCTGCGCATTGCCTTCAAGCGCTGGCGCAGCGCTTTGTTCTCGTCCTGCTGGCGGCGCAGCTCGAACTCCTTCAGGACGGCGCTGTTGGATACCTGGGAGCCGGAGCTGGAGCCAGACTGGCTGCTGCTGCCGCGACGGAGGCCAGAGTTGGCGCGATTGAACTGGTAGCCGACCACCGGACCGAAGCCATCCTCCTCGTTGGCCAGATCGTCCAGATCGTCCTCATCGGAGTCGGCGCCGGCGCTGGCACTGGCCCTGTAGGCGCCCACATACTTCTCGTCCTCGCTGTCGTCGTCGTTGTTGTCGTCATCCTCCTGGGCAGCGTCGTGGGGCGAATCCGCAAAGGCACGAGCAGTGCTCGTGCTCCCAGTCCCACTGGTAGTAGAACCAGTACCACTGGTGGTTGGTACTGTAGAGGTAGAAGTAGTGCCCGTGGTTGTTGTTGGCCCCGTTGGCCCAATAGTGGTGGTTGTCGTGCCTGGAGAAGTGGTACATGGCGAAGAGCCGCCCTTCAGGGCCAGCAGCTGGCTAAGACTCCGGCCCTCCAGCCCCTGGCTGGGCTGCTTCAACAGACGGTATCGCGGCTGGCCGGCATTCTCCACATCCCTGCGTCTCACTGCAAAGGCGAATGGAAAATGGAACCCGACGATGGACGTTGATGTCAAGTGCTGTCAGGTCAGGTGTGCGTAAAAGGGTCACTCACCGGCCGCCTGGGTCAGGCATGTTGTGGCTACCAAAAGCAAAGCGCAACACAAGAACTTCATGGCTCGACTTGGTGTCGTGGGGGGGGGCTAATCCTTTTCCGCTGGAACTGCTCTGTGGATCTCTGGCTCGAGGGGGGCTGCTGCTGTTGCTGTTGCTGCTGCTGTGCCTGTTGCTCTGCCCGAGGGAAGGTCGCTGGTTGACTGTGACATTGCCAGCGGCCACTCGGGATTATATACCCGAACCCCGGACTCAGAACGCTTCGGTTCAGCCTTCAGAGTCTGCAAATATCAGCGCCAACAAATTCTCATTATCATTTCTTTTCGCGAATTTGCAAATTTTAAACAAAGTTTTTGCATAAATTTGGGGCTTCCAGCGCCCCCCTTTGTGGTTGAACTAGTTTGACCCTCGCTCCAGTGGCTAGAACTGTGTCCGAGTGCTGACTGATGGCTGAACTACATATGGAAATATGCTGGTGTGGCCCGCACACATCTGACACGATCTGTGACCTGGAATTATCAACTCAAATCGAGCACCACAACGCCAGCAAGTGTCAGTGTGAACTGCCGCTTTTATTGCGAATTTATTGAGTTATTTCTCTGCGATTTAATTGCATTGGTTGGAGAAGTGGTACATGGCGAAGAGCCGCCCTCTCTGTGATTTAATTGCACTGCATTAAGCGGCGCAAATCGTTTCACATGAAGGCCTGCGCACGCACACACTCACATGCTTTGCAGTGCGTTTGCGTGGGCTAAACGGAACCCAGCCACTGTGAGAGAGCGGCAGAGCCTTTTCCTATACCCATTAGATAGGGCCGTGAGAGGACTCTGAAGACACATCCCCACCTGTTTGATTGATGCCATGAGCTGCCCCTGATGAGCCCAATGCCTGAGCTGTCCTGAGCTCTCCTGAGCTGTCAATCAGTGAGGGATCCCTTTGGATCAGTTCCCTCCCATTGTTAGCACCCGTTGCAAAGTTTGTGGCTGGTATATTTTTTATTCGTAGACGGGGGGGATTACACTGGACTGCCATTGGGGGGTTGTGGGTGGCTTAGTTGCGCACGCGGATGCGGCGGTTCCTGTTGGGCGTGGCCTGGCGGAAGCGCTTGGTGAGGCGTTGGTTCTGGCGACGGTTGCGACGCTGGCGCTGGCGATTCAGCTGCTGCTTGCGGCGACGCTGCTGCTGCTGCTGGCGGCGCTTCTGGCGACGACGCTGCTGCTGCTGCTGCTGGCGGCGACGGCGCTGGTTCTGCTTGCGCAGCTGCTGGCGGCGCTGGCGACGCAGACGATTCTGGCGACGGCGGCTGGAGCTGTTGCGGGTGGCACGGGCGGCGGCGGCGGCCACAACCTGCGAATCGTCCTGCTCCTCATCGTCGTCGAGCTCAAAGCCGGCCAACTGGTGGTCATTGAAGTGCTCCGCCTCCTCCTCCGCTGCGTCGTCATCGCTGGCCCCCAGCTGACGGGTGGTTCCCGCTGTGGTTGTGGGCGATGTTGTGCCAGTGGCAGTGGGGCTGGTTGTGGGGCTGGTGGTGGAAGTGCTCGTGGTGGTTGTGGGCGACTGCGGCGAGATGGTGGTGGTGGTGGTGCCCGTGGGGCTGGTGGAGGTGGGCGCCACTGTGGTGCTGCTGGCGCTGCCCTTCAGGCTGTTGAGGATGGTCGTCAGCTGGGTGGCACTCAGGCGACCCTGGGCGGCGGGCTCATCGCGCTGCTGCCGGCCAAACAGCTGGTAGCTCTGGCCGCTCTTGGCCTGGTGGGGCTTGGCTGTAAGTGGTTTCAATCAGAGGGTTGCCTTGATGACGGGGCGGGGCGGGGCGGGGGTTTGTCACAACTTACCGCTGGCAATGGCTGCCAGGCAGACCACTACGAGTAATCCCTTGAGCATATGCATGTCCTGGACGATTGTTATGGGGCTTTTGGCTGCGGCTGGGGCGAAAACTGTTCTGTGCGAATCTCTCTCGATTGCTGAGCTCGATGTGACTGACTTGGAAGGGCCCAGCCTGGCATATTTATATGTCACCAACTTACAACGCCGATGCCCTACACTGCCCTACACCGCCCTTCGCCTGCCCCGCCAGCTGTAACTCTGGCCAGCAACAAATCGCACATGCCCCCCTCAAGTGGGAAAGAGATGGCACCTGCAACAGCGCTGGGAGGGCGGGGGCCCTGTTTCTGGTCCGAAGAAAGGGCCCAAGAAAGCCCAAGTCGATGTAAGTCGTTTTGCATAAGGCCATAAATAATCCACAGCCAAAGTCAAAGCCAAAGCCAGAGCCAAGGCGGCGAATCTGTTGACCCCTTGGCCAGAACCATCTCGTAACCTCAGCAGCGATCGGATCGGATCGGATGGGCTGCCCATTTGCATAGCCCCTCGCGAATCGATCCATCGATTAGCATTTGCATATTCATTGAGATGGCGTAGATGGCAATGGAGTCAGAATTTCTTCAGACTGCCACAGACTGCCGCAGACTGTGCTAACACCTAAGGGCGAAAGTGTAGTCGATGTCAATGAACCGCTCGGACTGACCCCAAGAGAACCGTAAAGCAACCGTTCAGCAACCGTCGAACAGTCCCCATTAATGTGTCTTTCGGTTGGGCACTCGTGGACACTCTTGTGGGCATATGCTGCCCACATTGAAAGCTACAAATTAGTTCCTGCAATCGCTGATATCCACATAAAAAATGAAGATCGTACGTCGTACTCGTGCTTAAACTCATCCCCTGATCATCCCTGCTCTGAGAGATCTTCTTTGTAATAAAATAAAAATAAATTAAAAAAAAAAAAAAAATTAAAAAAAAAAAATTCCTCTAATATTAATGCAATCTCCACCACAACGGTCCTGTAGCAGAAGACCAAGTGAGTTGGGGTGAGGAGGAATTCCTCTCTCTCTCCAAGTACCGCCTTAACCCAATGCAATCTCCCCCCATTCGTTCCCCAGTCTCTAATCCCTGAAAATCTTCCATTGAGGAAAAAAAAAAATTGTTTTGTTTTGCATACAAAGTCATTTTATTTCAGGCGCTGGCTGGGTGGGTCAAAGTGGGGCGGGGCTGGGGGCTGGGAGCGGAGCCTAGGCACGGATGAGACGACGACCGCCACGGCGACGACGCATCAGCTGGCGCAGACGGCGACGCTGGTTCAGGCGCTGGCGGCGACGCTGGCGCTGGCTCTGCTCGCGGCGACGGCGGCTCTGGTTGTTGCGACGACGACGCTGGCGTTGGGCCTTGCTGCGGTTGCGATTGCGACGATTGCGGCGCGTGGAGCGGCGACGGTTCTGCTGCTGGATGCGGCGCACGCGCTTCGCATTGCGCCGATCGGCGAGCCGCTGGCGGCGCAGCAGGGCGCGCAGCCGCTGGTTGTGCTCCCGCTGCAGGCGCTGGATGCGCCGACGGTTGCGCTGATCCACCTGGTACTGGCGCCACTGCAGCTCGGTGGGTCGCTCCACGGCTGCTGCCGCGTTCGAGTTGTCGCCGCCGCCGCCCTGCTGGACAGCATTGTGGCCGGAACCGGGCGCCAGCACATAGAACTCGTCATCGTCGTCATCGCTGCCATCGTCGTCGTCGTCGTCGTCCTGCATTTTGCCGCTGCCCGGCTGCTCCTCATCCTCGTCCTCGTCATCGTAGGCACGGGCCAGCTCCTCGTAGGAGCCCTCGTTGTCGATGCCACTGCCGAAGGCCCGCCTGGTCGTCGGTGCCGTTGTCGCCGATGTGGGCGAGGACGTTGTGGTCGAGGTGCCTGACGATGTGCCCGGCGAAGTGGTGGGCGAGGTTGTGGGCGAGGAGGTGCCTGACGTTGTCGGCGTGGTCGTGACTGAGGTCGTAGTGGGAGTCAGTGTGGTCGTTGTCGTGGTGCCCTTCAGTGAGCTGAACTTGTTGGCTATGGATGAAGTGAATCTGCCCTCCGGCTGGCCACTCTCGTGCCGGCCCGTGGAGCGCACGCCCAGGCGGTAGCTCTGACGGCGTTCGGCTGCGAATGGAATGGGATGGGATGGCAAGGGTTGTAGTGTCAGCCTTTGGCTCGCTCGGGGCAGGACTTACCAAGGGTGGCTGGCGGGGCCAGAAGGGCGCACAGCGCCAGCGCCAAGCTCAGCTGTAGCAGGCAGTGCATTGCTGGGATGGTTCGGCTTTCTTTTTCGTTCTCTTGGTGGCAAGGACCTGGTGGGGGATGCTTGGCTGGGTTGGCTGGGATGGCTACTTGTTGTCTCTGAGCTTGCACTCGCAACTGACTGACAACTGACGAGTGTCCGCCGATTATATAGCCCGTCAAAGTCAGAGTTCTGGTCAAAAAAGAATCCGTTGATCGATGGCCGTCACTCCTCTCCTCGTCCACCCCGCCATTGGCAGGGCTATTAGCAGTGGGCCGAGGAGCTATTAGCCCCAGGCGGGTCAAAGAGAACAGGCCCCCCCTCATGGTTCATGGTTCATGGTTCAGCAGCAAAAGCAGCAAAAGCAGCAGCAGCAGCAACAGTCTTATGCTAATTTTCCCCACATTTCTCTTGCCAAAACAATCTTTCCATGATTGATTAACGTCAGATTTGAGAACTCAACTTTGTAAAGCGTCGAAGAACTTGGGAGAACGGCAACCAAAAGAAGAGCTTGACCCCTGCCTACCAGCTGGCCAAATATATTTCGCACTTGACTCTGTCGGACAGAAGAAAAACTCAGTTGATTTCTTAGCTGCGCACACTGCGGACACTGCCACAGCCACAGTCCATCCATATCCATGCCAGCGGTGGCACTCGTATTTCCTCTTCATTGCAATTATTTCAGAACTATTATTTCGTATCCCCGAAGCCAAACGGTCTGTGACTGTGCCAATAGTCAGAGGGAACTCTCAAGGGTTTGACCAGTCCTGCTGCTGATCGATATGGAAACTAATTGGCGAACGTAAAGCTCAGGTCAGCACATGACTTGTGTCACCTGCTTTAACTATAATATAATTATAATATAATTAGAAATAAAGAAATATAAATTCTAGACTTAGAAACAAGTGATCGATCAAGTGATCGCAAAGGGCAATCTACAGAGGAGATCTACATATTTTCTAATGAATTATAATGAATATTTTCTTTAAGTTCTCAGATGATATTTATTCGGAGCCCCCGGCGCGGAAGTGTTAATAAAATTAAAATTCCTCCTCAAATTTAATAAGAGGTTCTCTATGCAGCCTCTGAAATGTGGGTAAAAATTTAATGCAGCATGGGATTAGCGCATAATTCGTTACCCCAATTAATCTATTAGAATGATGCCATAGTAACATAAATATAGGTACCATTAATATATAAAATCTATATTTTACCAGCAGATCCTCCACAGATCAACTACTTTGCTGCCAGCTTAGATATCAGTCCATGAATCGATTCAGACTTCAGCTTGAAGGCCTCGTTGCTCTGGCTTCAAACATTAAATTTGTAAGATTCATTTTAGGCATCAATTTTGTGCATAAATTTTATAATTAATTGACTCAGACTCAAAGCAAAACTGTAGCTCAGAACCTGCAACTGTGGAAAGTCGTGACCGGTAAGGGCCGGTAAGGGCCGCTAAGGGAAAGTCCTTCCCTGAATAGATTTCCAAAATAAATACAACAAGTTGGCAATCCGCGAATAAGCTGTACCCACAGCCAAGCTGCATACCGACTTGTAGGGTTCTGTTGTGCAAATAAACAACACAAAGACTGCCCATAATAACTCTCCTTTAAAAGGTGTAAAATGTCTGCAGCACAGTCTACTTTCTTGTAAGTAAAATATGCCATCTGTGTGCAATCCAAAAATAAATACTAGTAGCTTGGACAAAGTGTGAGCACTCCTCCTCCACAATGGAATGGGATGACAAATAAACATCAGTTATGTATACGAATAATAGATTTCATTTTTTATTTATTTAAAAATAAAATGTACATACAATATGTTTTAATTGTCAAGTCTTAAGAGACAAAAAAATGTCTATGTCTACTCTAAAAATGAAAAACACATTTGTCAAATTATTACATTTAATCTGGCTGAAGGCCACAGCAGACATTGCTAGTTTATCATCACTGACTATAAGGCTTAAGCCTTGTATTAAATTATTAAATAAATAAATAAATAAATAATAAAATAAAATAAAAAAATAATCATCCCTGACTATAAGGTTTAAACCTTATAGTAAGTTAAGCTATTAAATAAATAAAAAATAAATAAATAATAAAATGAAAAATAATCATCACTTACTATAAGGTCTAAGCCTTATAAAAAGCCTATTAAATATATAAAAAATAAATAAATAAATAATAAAATAAAAAATAATCATCAAGGCTTAAGCCTTGTAGTAAGCTATTAAATAAATAAATAATAAATAAATAAACAACAATTATTTTCATATCACATTTTATTTCGTAATCAATTTTGTTCGCATATTTCTGGTCGGGTGCAGTTGCAGTTGCAGGTGCAGGGGTTCGGCTTAGCTCTTAACTATAATACTATAGAGACGGTGATCGTCGGAGAAGGGATGGATCGATCTAAAGGCGTCCTTAGCCCTGCAGGACGACCTGACCGCCGCGGCGGCGCTGGCCGCGCTGCCGGTTGCCACTGGGACGGACAACACGAACGTTGCGGCGACGGTTGCCACCGGTGCGGCGTCTCTGGTTGCCGCCACGACGACGACGACGCTGTCCGTTGGAGCCGCGACGGCGCACATTGCGACGTCCGTTATTCTTGCGGCGGCGCACAACGACGCGATTGGCGCGCTCTTCCTCAACGGCATCGGAGTCGGTGTCGGAGGCGGCGGAGCGCTCCATAAGGGCAACAACGGCGCCGTCGGGAATGGCATCGAGTGCGGCACGGGGCACGAGAAGGGCGGCCTTGCCAGTCTTCTCATCGATGACGCTCTGGCCCTCGATCTCGATGATGCCGTCGGGCACCATGATGGCACCAGCCTGATCCCGTGGGATCACCATTTGGGTGGGCTTGGCGTTCTTCAGCAGCTGCTGGCCGTTGAGGCTGTGGCTGGGCGTCTTGCGGAGATTGGCCAGCGCCTGGACAGGCTCATCGTCCTCATCGTCCTCGAGATCCTCGTCCTCCTGGAAGTTGTTCTTGTTCTGCTTCTGGTTCTGGTTCTGGCTGTTCAGGAGAACCAGCTGGCCGTGGCGGGCAAAGTTGAGGCCCAGCTGGTGCTCCAGCTCATCCTCATCATCGTCGCTGAGCTGCTGCTGCTGCTCCTCATCATCGTCATTGTCATCATCGTCCTGGGGCACAGGCTGCACAGCATCGTCGTCGTCGTTGTCATCGTCATCGGCCTCCTCAACAATCTCAAAGCCCTTGACAACGGCACCAGCATTGGGCAGACCCCTGGGTATGGACAGGAATAAGTACGGATGCTGCTGCTGCTGCTGCTGTTGCTGTTGGCGGAGGAGCTGGCGCTGCTGGAGGCGTGGCTCGGCGAGGGCCAAGGCCAGCAGGCAGCTCAGTGCGAAGAGAGCGGCGAGAAGACACTTGGACATTTTGCGTGGATGTGCAAGTGGCGGTGGAAGGCGTGGGCGATCCTCAGTGGCAGATCAGCAATTGTGTGTGTGGGTTGGGTTGGGTTGGGATGGGATGGGTCCTAATTGTAAGCAAAGTTCCAGAGAACTGTACAGCTCGCTGCGATGGCATTAGGTTTTTATGCGAAAAAGTTCTGGCCGCCGGCCGAAAGAACTCTTCTGGCCTCTGGAATAGGAGAGAGCGAAGAGAAGAGAAAGATGGAGATGGAGATGGAATCAGAATATTCTGAATATTCAGAATTGGGCATAATTGCGGTCGATGTCGGCATAATTTCAAGTGGCGAAATTTGACCAGCACAAAAAAAAAAGAAAAAAAAAAAAAGAAAAATAAAACGAGAATAGGAAAAGAAAAGATTGAAAATATTTGGTGGATGGGTATAAATGTGGTTCAGTGACCCCAAAACAAAAGAAAGAGCTGCGGCTCGAGCTGAATAAATAAGCAAAAGTTGAAGTCAAATGACCAGAGACCCAAATCCGCGCCGATGAACCCACGGGCTAAAGCCAGAGCCAGAGCCACAGCTACAGCTACAGCCACAACTCCAGCGTCATGCTAATGACAAAACAATCAGAGACACGCACCGATAGAAATGACGATAGAAATCCAAGACACAAGATCCAAGAATAGAGTTGCCCAAAGCCACAAGCCCAAAGCCACAAGCCACAAGCCATGAGAGCCTCCCCAATCAATGGGCCGAGTCATGGACCTGCTGCCCAGGTCAGCGACGCATGTGAAACTGCTGGGGCACCAGCCCAGGCCACCGATCATATACTGCTCAAGAGTGCTCTCTCGCTGCTCTGCCCCCCAACCCCCTGGGTTACCACACCACAAATTCCAGAGACACGAAGCCAAGATGGCCAAGATGTGCCGCCAAGTGTTCGCACGCTGCTCGTGTGGCTACCGTGACCCCCTTGCGAGCGACTGCCAAGCAGAAACCTCCCTCCGCTGATTGATAGCCCCTCATTGTTATTGTTATTTGAATTATGAATTATTTTTTCCAAAGTTAGCCCAGCCACAGCTGGCTCCAGCCAGGGGGGAGGCTTTAAGGGAGGAGACCTGCAATCATGGCTTATACAAAAGAAGAGAAATTACCGGAGACCGGCAGGAATAGCCAGAAAAAGCGATCGAAAATGATCCGAGACAAAGCAAAAATATAGGGACCAAGAGTGCCAATGGGTTTATGGACACCCTAAGATTAGTCGCAAAACATTCGACAATTGAGCGTCTCCAAAGGGCTTAGATGGACTGTTGAATGGCTGCTGAATGGCTGCTGATAGGTGTGTATTATATATCACTCTGTAGCACGGGGCAGAATCCTATGTTTTGGCGCTGCTGCCTGGGGTTTCGTTCCCAATCGGCTGACTCGTACAGATCAGATCCGACGCTACAGATCTGCAGGTACTCGTATCTCGGACACTTCCTGATTGAAATGCACCGCAATGTGAGATATTTGCACTAATTATAATCTGTGGAGTGAATTCCATTGCCCCTGAGGCCCTCAATGGGAGAATTAAGTATTCGTGATGGTCTCTATCAAAGGGCAGGCCAAATACTGACGGTAACGTGAACCGAATAGATGTGTACATATGCTCGTATATTATCTATGCATGTACGTCTGCTTTTGTTTAGTGTATTGATGGTTCTATTCAGTGACAAAGGGGCTTAAAGAGTTTTCATTGTGGTTTTTGCTCGACAAATTCTTGTAGATAAGCTTCATTTTGTTTTCTGTCTTTAGAGCAGCGATACAAAAAACTTTCCAGCATATAAAAGATGGCAGAAATCCATTACCGCTCATTAAATCAATTTTTTTAAACTTTTTTAAAATATATTTTTGCACGGTTATAGAATGGAAACTGTGTTGATTTTGTGTATTTATTGACCAGACCTGAGACGCTATGTTCCCTTCAAGTTGGGCCACCAATAGATCTGTATCTTCAGCATAATTTGGGCTGTCAGCCTCAGACTCCCGTTTCCCATGCAATGAACCCAACAAGGGATACAACTGCAGATAGCTTTTGGAATGCGAATATACCTTGCACTTCAATAAAACGATGGTTTGATTTTATTTTATACTCACAGATCAAGATTTTAATAGTCGTAGATGCACACTCTGTGAAGCACTTAAATATTTCTTGTATTTTATTTATTTTCGATATATTATAATCTTGATTACAATAAAAAGTATTTAAAAAAAATAAGAGTAGCTCCGATTAGCTAAGACTAAGAGATTTGCAAGGTAATGGCTTCCCCTCACATTCCCCCAATTTGGATCAGCTTGGTGCTGGCCGGGAAATGCCAGATCCGAGGATTCATCATCATCTGCATGGGCATGGGTACGGGCATGGGCATGGGCACTGGTTGTGGCTAGTCTAGAGGATTGGGAGCCCAAATTCTGAGCTGCAGGCCAGCAACAGGCCAAGTCTGCCGATCTTCTGGTCTCGTGTCAAGCATCCGTATTGTCAATTGTCTCCAACTAACTTCCAGGGGTGCCACTCCGAACTCTTTTGAGGCTCTTAAGTAAGCTGAAAGCATAAAAAACGAACTTAGGAAGAGGTGATTTTGTGACTTACCTGAGGTTTTCATCGCAAGTTTATTGAATATCTATGCCTGTGTTTTTCTGCATATTTTCCCTCAAAACCAGATCATTAATTGACCTGGAATTCCCATTCAGAGCCGCAAAATACGTATGGATTGATGCCCCGCATCGCTTCATGTTCTTTGTGGGTCTGTGCAATAAATTTATGTTTATTTTTGAGGCGGAGACTTAACCAACATACTCGCAGTGGCAGCAGCTTCTTCGGGCTGTTATCACGTATGAGAGTGACCTTAAATCATCCGCCATTCATATCAAAATATGCACTTTGAATAACGATGAGGGTTCTACGATGGGAAATCAATCAGCTGAGGTTATTTCTGGGGTTATTCCTCCTACTGCCAGCCGAGGCGGAAGGGCGTCGCAGAAGCGATCTCTTGGCATTATTCTACACCGTTGAACTATATGAATATTTAATATTTCAACTGCGTATTTGCTTCTCGCATAAGCATAATTAATCTGGCTGGACTCTGGCACTTGATCTAAGAATAGGAACAGGAATACAAAAGAAATATCCTAATTAACCTCCATGAGTGCTGAAAACAGATTCATGTTTGTCTTCCACTTTGTAGAATTGTTGGACCATCCGATCTGTAAGCTAATCGCCAATTTCGCGGCACCCCAGCCACAGCCCTGCCCAAAATTAAACCGCACAAGCAGAATATTTGATCGAAATATATTTTATTCAGCCTTCAATTGAGAGACATTCCTGAAATGGCATAGAACGGATTCATTTTGGCTGCTGGGCTCAGCCAAATCCGCTTGGCAACAGTCGTCGGAGAAAACTGCCGCATCTTAGAAATTTCTAATGCGAACGGGCAGCGGTGAGGTGAATTGGAGTTAATTTCCATATGAATGTGTGGGGTCGGGTCTCGGGGTCACAGCGGCCAATAGTCGTCTGCCTGGGACGGGCCGAAGCATATGCAAAAAGAAACGGCACAAAGAAAGCTGCTGTCCGGCTCTGCCAAATGGCTAATAAATTGATTAAAGCCTTAGTTATGGCCCAACATTTTGGGCAGGGCAAGTCGAAGCCGATGCCGATGCCGATGATGGGGTCGCAGTCGATGCTGCGGACCGCGCAGAAAGTTGAAAGTTCAATGGACGCCGCCCGGGCCAGAGTCAGAGTCAGAGCCAGCGACAGCGACAGCGACAGAGACTCAAAGCGGGTTCTTTTCGCACAGCATCGGGAATTAATTATGGAAAACCAATTTGGATGGTGACCTCTTCGTTGGGGAATCCGAATCCGAATTTATATCTACATATATCTGCACATGCATGAATCTCAATCTGAATATGAATTAGAATGAATGTTTACTGTTAGGCGGCTCGCTGAATTTCTTTATGAGATTTCAAATTCCAAATTCGAAATTGGAAATAATGTTCCAGCAACCGCCCGACCGACCGACCGACCACTTGGCTGAGCGTTCACCCCTATTTTTTTTTGTTTGTTGGTTTTGTTTCTTTTGGGATAGAATTATTAATTTACCGAGAGATAATGACCCCCCAGCCCTCGGCCAGTCGCCCTCTGTGACGAATGGAATAATGTTGTCAACGCTCTTTTATGGGCCTCGCTTCGGCTTCGGCTGCGCAGATCGAAGCTCTTCAAGAGCTCGCATGTTGGCCTAATACTGTCCCAATGATTGCCGCCTCAACAGGCGTAGCATGATTATGCAAATTCCGATCCAGCACTGAGTGTGCATGCCCGAGGGGGGGCCATGCTCGAGTCTCGGATCGGTCCCGGCAGAGGGCTAAATGCTGCCCTCGGGGCTCGTTCATCATGATTGGTGTGAACGGTGAGCAGAGCTGCAAAAGAATTTCTTATGTATGTGTGTGTGTGTGTGTGTGTGTGTGTGTGTGTGTGTGTGTGTGCTGGGCCTGGAAGCCAAGTCGATATTGCCACTGCCCAACTGCCTGAAGTATTCCTGAGCTAAAGCTTGCACTGAACTTTTCTGCGCAAATTATTTTCTCTATTCAAAGCTCTTCCCTTCGATCTTCATGGCCTTCGCTCCTTCGCTCAAAGCTTTCAATGCTGCGAAATTGGCTGCCAGATATCCTATATCACCTAGCTGGCTGCTATGACACTTTACTCCCCAAAAGCAGCTTAAAAGAATTATTTGCGCTGCTGCGCTGTGAAAGCCAAACTCAGCGTTTGGCTGCGCGCAACTGTACCCACACGGCCTACCCTACCGTTATGCCATCACATCCCATCACATCGCTTGGTTAACGGCATTAATCTGTGCATAAATCGCATAGTGAATAGATCTATCGGATTAATTATGCATGACCTTTCCAGCGAGGTCTTTCTCCTTTCGTTCCAAGCCAATATTAATTATGGAATTAATTACGTTCAATAAAGAACGAACACAACAAAAAAAAAAGGTGAAGAATAAAGAATGAAAACACAAAATATAAATCGGTCAAAGCGCACGGGCCAAGCCGAGCCCCATTAATATTAATGTGGGGAATGGGATGGGGATCGTTATCGTTTTGTTATCTACATTTTTGGCGTCTTCTATGCGCAGGGTCAACGCACTTGACGCGACTATCACACATCGCAATCCATTGGAGCGACTTCGCAAAGAGTAGCAACAACACAATGCCCTGGCCCCGATTCGGCTTGAACTTTCAACTGGCAAAACACAAAAACAAAACAAAAAGAACACAAAATACCTGAAATTATGCTAATCAATTTCTCTCTTCTCTCAGATCTCTTTGGGGCGGCGGGCTCTACGACTTGGGCTTTTTCTCAGGCAACAACACACGCAAAAAAAAATAGAAAAAAATTTATTTCTTTTGGTTTTTCGTTTTGAAGTTTCACGTGGATTGAAAATCGCTTTTTGGGTTGATTATTTTTCTTCTTTTTTTTTTTTTGTTGTTCATTATTCATTATTCATTTCTTGATTCATTCTTAGGTCTTTTCGTTTCTCGTAACGCTACAATTATTCGGAGACGGAGACTTTATCGGATGCGACGGACTCGGCTTTCGGTTCCTCCTTTGGGAGCTGCTCCTCCTGCTTTGCTGGTTGCTCTTGCTCCTTGGCTGGCTCCTCCTTGGCTACCTCCTTGATGGGCTCCTCCTTGGCTACCTCCTTGGCTGGCTCCTCCTTGGCTACCTCCTTGATGGGCTCCTCTTTCGTTTGCTCCCCCTTGGCAGCCTGCTCAACCAACTTCTGCTCGGTCTGTGGTTCCAGGGAGCGTCCGCTCTTGCGCAGGGCAAAGCGACGGTTCTGGTGCAGCAGATCGAAGTAGGGATGGAAGTCGCCATAGGCCACATAGCGGGCATCTCCGTAGGCGGGCTGCACATGGCGCGTCAGACCCGGCTCATCGTCATCGCCGACAAGGATGAATTCCTGGTCCTGACTGGCCTGAGCGCCAGCCAGGGGCACCTCCGTGGAAACGGCCAGCGGCACCATCATCTCCTTCTCCTTCTGCTTCTGCTCGCCGGCCTCCACGCTCGCTGGCTGCATCTCGCTGGCCATGGCCTCGACGGCGGGCGCCTTCTCCACGATGGTGCCCGGACGGATGCGGGTGGGCAGGAGAGCGGCTCCGGAGTTGCCGGCGGCCTTCACGGGCTTGGCGGCGATGAGCACGGGCTGGTTGGCGATGGGCTTGTTGGTGGAGCCGGTGCGGGAGGGCGGGATCTGGGGTGGCTGGAAGATGTCCATCAGCGAGGCTTCGGCCAGCAGGGGCACCGCCGACGCCGTCAGCTGGGGACGCTTCTTCCTCTTCTGCTGCTGCTGCTGCTGCTGCTGCTGGGTGGCGGATGCTGAGCCACGCACCGGATTGATGGCGCTCTGGGGAATGTTGAGGATCAGCGGCTGGGCCTGGATGCCCTCGGCCAGGGAGACCATCGACTGCTGCTCGGGCGGCGACAGACCCAGCTGGCTCCACGGAATGGTGATGTACTGCGTGGGCCGTCCCTGCCGCCGGATGGGCACGGTGAGCGGCGGCTGGGGGTAGGCGCCCACGGGCACGCGCTGCTTCTTGGCCTGGCTGGGCACGTAGGCGTACGGGTAGGCGGCGCCGAGATTCAGCAGCTCTGGGGCCACGTACACCGTCTGTCCGTTGCGGTTGACGAGCAGTGTCGTCTGCTGGGGCCGACGCGCCTTCAGGGACCCACCGGCGGAGCCACCGCCCGACTGGGAGGTGCGTCGGAGCACGGTGCCCAGCTCGCCGGGGCTCTGGCCACGGGTGAACTGCCGGATCTGGCTGATCAGGCTCTGCTGGCCGCGCTGAATGAAGTTGGGCTGGTTCTGGGAGCGACGCGTGCCCGACTGACCGAACAATGCCGGCTCTGGCACTGCCACAAACTGTTCCTCGCTGTCATCGTCCACACTCTGGTTCTCGTTCTCGCTATCGCTATCGTTTTCGTTGTCGTTCTCCTCCTCCTCATCATCATCCTCGGCCTCCTCATCATCATCCTCCTGCTGCTGCTGCTGCTGCTGCTGGGGCTTGCTCTGTGCCTGCTGCTGGCGACGCTTCGTTGGGGCAGGAGCCACTGACTCCTGCTGGGTGACCTTCTTGCGCTGAGAGCTGACCTGCTGCGATTGCTGCTTGCGGCGCGGCTTCTGCTGCTGGGGGCGACGCTTCTGCTGCTGCTGCTCGACGGACTGCTCGTCCTCATCTTCGAACTGCTCCAGGGACTGCTCGTCGTTGAGGGCCAAGTCATCGGCCTCCTCGTCGTCGAACTCCTCGTCGAAGCGGTTGCCCTGGAAGTAGTCATCCTCGTCGTAGTAGTCATCCTCGAACGAGTCGTCCAGCCGATTGTTGTTGCTGTTGTTGGGCCGATCGTTGAAACGATTGGGACGCTGGCGACGATTGCCATTGCCATTGCCATTGCCATTCCGGTTGCCATTGCCATTGGCTGGACGCTGTCCCCGCTGCGGACGCTGCTGGAGACGGACCACAACATCGGGACGCTGAGTCGTTGTGGAGCTGGTGGTGCTGCTGGTGGTGGTGGACTCCCGCACGGGTGTGTCCACCAGGCCGGGCAGCTGCTGGCCGGCGGCGGCCAGGCGATCGTTGAACCAGCCGGACACGGAGCCAGCCAGCGTGGAGAAGGAGGAGCCCAGACCCTGGGCGGGATTCATGCCAAACAGCCAGGTGCCCGGCGAGGCGGGGGAGGAACTGCCGCCGGTATTCGCCTGTTTGCCCTGCAGCTCATCGAGCGCCGACTGCCGTGGCTTGAACGCGATCAGTGGATGGATGATGAAGTCCGCCACTGTGTGGGGCTGAACGGCGGCCTTCTCCTCGGCCTTGGGCTGCTGCAGCTGCTGCTGCGGCTGCTCCACGACCTCCACAGCCACCGGCGGCTTCTCCGTGGGGCTCTTTGGCGCCATGGGTGCATCCTCTGTGCACATTTTCATAATCACAGCAAAAAAAAGATCAAGCAACAAACAACAACAAAAAAAACATTCACAAGGTTTTGGTTTTTTGGCACATGAAAAAAATTTGGGAAGAAAAAAACACAGAGGGGAAAAAAAATTAGTTGGTTCGGGGATGCGGCTGTGGGGATGCTCATTGCCTACCAATCAGGGCCATATCCGCTATGGGGGACTCGGTGGACTGCTCCACCAACACGGGCGCCTCGGTGACGGTCTGAACCGCAGCCTGTGGCTGTGGCTGGGACTGGGCCTGGGGCTGGGCCTGGGACATAGCCAGGGCCAGGGCCAGGCACAGGCACAGCACGATCTTGGCCATGTCTCTGTAACTGTCGCTGTAACTGTCGCTGTATCTGTCTCTGTCTCTGTAGTTGTCGCTGCGTTTGTTCTGGTTCTTGTCAGTCACATGCACACACTCTCACGCACACACACACACACACTGGAGTTAGATATTTGAGGTATCTTTGGGGTTCGTTCGCTCGCCTCGTTGGGGTCCACAGACAGACGTATCTTTTGCTGAACTGTTTGAGCGTGCGCGCTGACCCGAGCTTTTTATGTGCCGTCTAGAATCACTTATTGCCAAAAGAGCCAAAAAGCGCTGAAAGCCAAAAACCGCTGGCACGCGGCAGAGCGGTTGAGCGGTAGAGCGGGAGAGCCACTGAACAGTCTCCCGTGGAGTGGTGGGAGAGCAGCGCCAAAGCTCTTGGACGGCACGAACGAACGGACGAACGAACGAACGGAGCTCTCTCCGCGGGCCAGCTGGGGGCTGTAAATCAATTTGTCGTTTGTTGACCGCAGGTCGCAGGTCGATCGGGGGCCATCTTTTTAGCTTCGGATAATCATCTGGAAACCGTGATTAGACTCAACAATAATTCAAAGAACTAGTTCGGGCTGGGCGCGATGGGAATGCGACACTATCGAAATATTGTGAATTAATTTGGCTTAATTGTTGTGCCACTTAGTTGTAAACAAGTAAATGGGCACAGCTCTTTCCAATCCACTTAAGTTACACTAAATAACCCATCGTTTTATGGCCTCTTGTGAGGCTTTCCATTTATGTGGCTCTATAGCCACATTTTGAGCGAAAAATGTATCAGTTATGTTTGTGATACGACTTCTAAACTGACGCAAATATTTGATTTAAATATATTTCATGGATTAAAATTGCTACCAATTAAGTACATATACTGTATTTATTTTAAAGTTTTTACATTTAAATTAAACACAAGTTAAACATTATTTACACATGTGTAAATCAATCAGAATTATATTTAATTTAAGCATATTTTTTAACCCGTAGTAACGGATCTCAGAAAAGTATTGTTATGTGAAAACATTTATTGAGCAATTTTTTTTTACAAAACCAATTTTTTTTACCGATCGTTCCTTTATCAATTCAAGTGGTCCAATCTGACCAATTTGTACAAAAGAGTTGCAAATTCACTTCTATACTTCTATACTATCACTTCTATATCAATACACCTACTCATGCAGATCGGGAATGGTATATATTTAGGCAATATAGAATAAAAATCCTCCAAAATGCGCAACGCACCATGCCCAAAAAATAATAAAATATCATATTATGTTCTAAATTTATTTCAGTGCAATTTTTTTTACTTTCGTTATTTTTTTGTAATTTTTTAAAACATTATACTGCTGGTCATACAATTTCTAATAGATTCATTGGGTGTAAAAAAATCCATATTAATATTATTGGAACTTTATCATGTTAAATTTAAATTAAAACTAATCAATTCCAAGCAAAATATGTATACAAATCCAATGATTTTCTTTCACATGAAATATTCGGCTGAGGCAAAATGAATATTAATTTTAATAGCCGCCAAGAGCAGTTCGAAGAGCTAGTTCCTTCCGACTTAAATTCTTGATGTGATTAATAAATGAAAATAGTCATTAAATATTTATTCTGTTTGAAAAAAGTATCCGCTTCTTTCATGTTGCCAATTGGACATCTGCTACTCAGACTTGGGTGCATAAAAACATTCGTTCTTAGTAGAATTTAAACTGAATGGGGCATCTTCTATTCAAATAAAACGTTTGGTCTTCTGGGCTTAAATTAAAATTAAAATTATATTAAAAATCGACTCTCTTAAAATTTGGCAAACATTAGAGCTCTGTTCGCCGGGCTAGAACTAGTTCATGTGAGCTTCCCAAGCACCGCTCACCCAGAAAGAAATAATTATGGTGCATTTGCAGCGATTTCTATTTTCGCCACAAGTGGATCATTGTGCCAATTCCGAGAACGGATTTCTTAGACTCGGTCCGAATATAGAACTTTCCCTAGTAACTTTCTAATAGATTGACCCCGGAGGTGAGAGATGAGATGAGATGATGACCTCGGCGAGTCGCGGGGTGACTTTCTTCGTAAGACCCCCCGCCCCGTCCCCCCTCGTACAGACAGACAGCCAGACCCACACTCACACACGGGCCTAATGAGTATTTATGTATTTTTTATGCATTTCCATTAGCATGAAATAACTTCTTGGGCCACGTTCGCCGCAATTTGTTGTTGGTTGGGTTCCTTTTTCGCGCTTTTCGCCTCCGCCTCATCCGCCTGCTCAGTGCTAATGAATACATTGCGTTCTTGGGCCGGTGGTTGTGATGGTTGTGGTGATGCTGAAGACGCTCGCTTCTGCTCTTTGCATAATTTGGTTATTAAAACATTTGTTTATGTCGCACATAATGGGCCGCAAATATGTTGGACCGCATCTGAAATGCTGGACCACGTAGCCGTTGCCGCAGTCGCAGCCGCAGCCGCGATGGATGCCTTGGGAGTTACATCGGGAACGGTAGCTCTGGAAAATTTAAATAATTGACGCAAAAATAACATAAATTAGATTAGCCAAAATGCGACAGAGAGAGAGAGTAGAGTAGAGTACAAAATAATAGAAAACATAAATTAATCACATCCCCTGGGGCCACACCACCGCTCGATGGGCAGTCGAAGGAAGTCAGTGAAAGCGGCCATCGGACAGATGCCGATGCCCCACATAAAATCTGATTAGATTGGGTCTGCTACGTGGGCTCATCTTTAAATACGAAATAAACGGTGCTGTTTTATAGCGGAAGATCAGGCTAGGCTGGGGCACAAAATAAGGGCAGCAAGAGATAACTCTCCAGATCGATTCATCCACGTCAGCTATTAGGTGATAATCCAACGATTTTAATACTATATTCTTAATACGAATACATGGATCTACTCCTTGTTGAGTCAGGAGACCGACCGACCGTCCCCATCTTTGCTTTCAAACGGTTAAATTCAAATCTGAGATACCAGGCGCACAGAAATCAGCAGAAGGTCGCTGCTTTTTTTTAATTCTCTTTTTTTCTTGTTTCTCTTTGTATTTCGTTGCTCTATTTTTTCGCTCTACTTTTTCCCACTTTCTGCCTCCACTTTCCACCGCTCAAATGGCAGAAAACCGTTAAATTCAAATCTGAGATACCAGGCGCACAGAAATCAGCAGAAGGTCGCTGCTTTTTTTTAATTCTCTTTTTTTCTTGTTTCTCTTTGTATTTCGTTGCTCTATTTTTTCGCTCTACTTTTTCCCACTTTCTGCCTCCACTTTTCACCGCTCAAATGGCAGAAAACCGTTAAATTCAAATCTGAGATACCAGGCGCACAGAAATCAGCAGAAGGTCGCTGCTTATTTTAAATTCTCTTTTTTTCTTGTTTCTCTTTGTATTTCGTTGCTCTATTTTTTCGCTCTACTTTTTCCCACTTTCTGCCTCCACTTTCCACCGCTCAAATGGCAGAAAACCGTTAAATTAAAATCTGATATACCAGGCGCACAGAAATCAGCAGAAGGTCGCTGCTTTTTTTTAAATTCTCTTTTTTCTCGTTTCTCTTTGTGTTTCGTTGCTCTCCTTTTTCGCTCTACTTTTTCCCATTTGCTGCCTCCACTTTCCACCGCTCAAATGGCAGAAAACCGTTAAATTCAAATCTGAGATACCAGGCGCACAGAAATCAGCAGAAGGTCGCTGCTTTTTTTAATTCTCTTTTTTTCTTGTTTCTCTTTGTATTTCGTTGCTCTCCTTTTTCGCTCTACTTTTTCCCATTTCCTGCCTCCACTTTCCACCGCTCAAATGGCAGAAAACCGTTAAATTCAAATCTGATATACCAGGCGCACAGAAATCAGCAGAAGGTCGCTGCTTTTTTTAAATTCTCTTTTTTTCTTGTTTCTCTTTGTATTTCGTTGCTCTATTTTTTCCCACTTTCTGCCTCCACTTTTCACCGCTCAAATGGCAGAAAACCGTTAAATTCAAATCTGAGATACCAGGCGCACAGAAATCAGCAGAAGGTCGCTGCTTTTTTTAATTCTCTTTTTTTCTTGTTTCTCTTTGTATTTCGTTGCTCTCCTTTTTCGCTCTACTTTTTCCCATTTCCTGCCTCCACTTTCCACCGCTCAAATGGCAGAAAACCGTTAAATTCAAATCTGATATACCAGGCGCACAGAAATCAGCAGAAGGTCGCTGCTTTTTTTAAATTCTCTTTTTTCTTGTTTCTCTTTGTATTTCGTTGCTCTTTTTTTTCCCACTTTCTGCCTCCACTTTTCACCGCTCAAATGGCAGAAAACCGTTAAATTCAAATCTGAGATACCAGGCGCACAGAAATCAGAAGAAGGTCGCTGCTTTTTTTAAATTCTCTTTTTTCTCGTTTCTCTTTGTATTTCGTTGCTCTCCTTTTTCGCTCTACTTTTTCCCATTTGCTGCCTCCACTTTCCACCGCTCAAATGGCAGAAAACCGTTAAATTCAAATCTGAGATACCAGGCGCACAGAAATCAGCAGAAGGTCGCTGCTTTTTTTAAATTCTCTTTTTTTCTTGTTTCTCTTTGTATTTCGTTGCTCTATTTTTTCGCTCTACTTTTTCCCACTTTCTGCCTCCACTTTCCACCGCTCAAATGGCAGAAAACCGTTAAATTCAAATCTGAGATACCAGGCGCACAGAAATCAGCAGAAGGTCGCTGCTTTTTTTAAATTCTCTTTTTTTCTCGTTTCTCTTTGTATTTCGTTGCTCTCCTTTTTCGCTCTACTTTTTCCCACTTTCTGCCTCCACTTTCCACCGCTCAAATGGCAGAAAACCGTTAAATTCAAATCTGAGATACCAGGCGCACAGAAATCAGCAGAAGGTCACTGCTTTCTTTAAATTCTCTTTTTTTCTTGTTTCTCTTTGTACTTCGTTGCTGTATTTTTTCGCTCTACTTTTTCCCACTTTCTGCCTCCACTTTCCACCGCTTAAATGGCAGAAAACCGTTAAATTCAAATCTGAGATACCAGGCGCACAGAAATCAGCAGAA